GTTTTTTTAAATCATACCACTCTGCCTGCCTATTGTGGGCTGAATATATAAATTCTCAAATCTAAACTTGTTTTGCATGAATCCATGCAATGTGTCAGGTCCTTGTCATGTTAGTTTTGTTGTAACAAAAAGGATGACACATATAAAAGAACCAAACTTGCTACCATAGCTTGAAGACTATCTGGTTTACTCAATGAACAACTTTCCTGCTTGTTTCTGCTTTAGGTATAAATTGACCCTAAAGTACCCAAACTCCACAAGGGAGCAAAATGTTCCCTTTATGTTCCTAGGACAGTTTATATTGTAAAAAGTTCGGAAAGATAATTTATATGACAATATTCCACACTTTAAAAAAAATTACCTGCTTTGATCATCAGTCTTCTCCAGTTCCCTTTATGTTCCTAGGACAGTTTATAAAGTTCAGAAAGATAATTTATATGACAATATTCCACACTTTAAAAAAAATTACCTGCTTTGATCATCAGTCTTCTCCAGCCTGGTAACAACCCCCCTCCCCCAGGTCGGACTCTTGGTCCTTTAATTTCCATTTGGTGAGTTTCCTACCATTAGAAACCTGTTCAGGCTCTAAGATAGGCCAAAGCACACCCCCGCCCCCAGGCTAAGCTCTTCTAGGCTGGCTGGTACAAGAGATGGAATGTTATCTGCTCAAGTGTTTTAATTAACTGAATTTCTAATTCATTATTTCCGTTTTTTCCGCCGTTGTGAACTGTTTTTTTTCGGACGGGGACTTCCCTGGAAAAGTAGTTCAGGAACAAAAAGTGGTTTTCAAACCAAATACAAATAAAGACACGCTTATTTGAGGGAACATGTCAGTCCCCGTTGGGTCGTTCTTTTGAATCTCTGACCGTCTTGGTCTGTACTTGAGGAATATGGTAACAGGGGAACGGGGGAAATAAAGATCCTCGCCTGACCCTGCAGGCGTTTTAACCGGGTGACACCCCCCACACCCCCCGTTTAACTTAGCAACCCGCGTTCTTCTTCCAAGACCTTGAGAACCACCACATTTTGCGTGCCGGGTCGTGGTGGTGGCGACTCGCGCCGAGCGCGCCCTATTTCCCTTCTTTGGAACGAAGGGGCGGCGGCGCCACCCCCCCCCCCCCGACGGAGAGCGAAGGGCCGGGTTTCCAGAAAGGGGGAGGCGGGAGAAGAGGCCCGGGCGCCAGGCACCCAGAAGAGGGGGAGACGCCTCAGAGGG